ACACACACACACACACACACACACACACATATATATATATATATATACATATTATATATATATATATATATATATAATGTCCTGAAATATTTTTCTAATCCATAAATAGGTTGCATTCACAGAATCACATGGGACTGTACGCTACTGTATATATTTATATTACATATCTGTCTGAAGTTGCTTCTTTCTTCTTCAGCCTGACACATTACATTTTTATGCAAATCATTTCATGTGTCTTTTTACCAGGGACTTATCTTTGTGTGGAGTCTGCGGTCAGACCAGCAATCCAAAGGTGCGGGACTTACTGAGATGACTCCTGTAAAAAAACTAATTGATCATCGCGGTCATCAGGTGCTAAAATGTTCCCTTAATCCTGATGTCAGGTAGGTGTCTTGTCTGACAGTTTTTAGGGTTTGTCTGACTGCTTTTTTAGTTTATGTTACTTGCCGGATTTTTTATTTTGGGTTTGTATTTCTTGACTGACCTGCTTTTTTTGGTTTTATGATATGTTTCTTGTCTGACTGTTTTTAAGGTTTAGGGTGTAGGTATCGTTATTTGTTTACTCGCTAGTTGTAGGGGTTATGTTTCTTGTCTGATTGTTTTTAAGGGTTAGGGTGTAGGTATCGTTATTTGTTTACTCGCTAGTTGTAGGGGTTATGTTTCTTGTCTGATTGTTTTTAAGGGTTAGGGTTTAGGGATTGTGGTTTTGGGGTTCATGTTTCTGGTTTGACTGGTTTTGGGGATTTGTTTCTCATCCGACAGTTTTCAAGGTTTTTTTCCTTATTTGACTATTTTTAGGGGGTATGTTGCGTGTTTATACTTGCTTGGTTGTATCTGTTATACAGGTTGGTGGAACAAACCTCAATCTACATGTGCTTGTTTGTGTACATGCATCGAGATTTAAAAATATAGGGTTTAGGGTTTAGGGGTTTAAACGTCGGGGCTAGACCTGGGGATGAATCACTCGGTAATGCGTGTTGACAGTAGACATAAGAGATATGGCCTACAAGTGTGTTGGTCAGAGGTAGTCTGTTCTCCAGCCGGTGTGGGCGAGAGCTGCTAGTATGGACTAGTCCTTGAGAGGAATGCCAAAGATGCCCGCGCACTCGTACGCGTTAGAACTACACCTGCACCTGCTGGTTCACCCACGATTGTTGCAACTGGAACTGTGTGTGCCGGGAGATGCGATGGTCATACATCACTGTTCACGTTATATGTCGTCTTATCACTCTTTGCCTTTGCTCACCTATCATGCCTAGCAGAGGCATTTGCAGCACGAAACTATTCAACTATATATGTAGCCCATTTTGCAGTCGTTCAGTGACAATTTGTAGACATACGTGTTCATAGTTCTACAAACCTTGACAAAGGAGTTTGAACGTACGTTGTATATTGCGTATATAGGATGCTTGCATGTAGGCATGATACTGTAGAAGGGTTATGTATAGTTATGTGCTCAATTGTCACACCTGCAGCATATTGATACACATACATTCGTTCACTCTGCTTGTATTGTATTTCAATAAGAAATTAACTTATTCATGTACAACTGCGGGGATTACTATTCGCTGCATAACGCTCTCAGCACATGTGGTCGTACTTGAGCACCGATCTTAATGACATGACGAGACATTTGATAGTGTGAGACATTGATACCAGTGTTTCCTCACTCGATTGTAATGAGTCTTTATTCTTTGTCACAGTATGCTGGCCACGTGTTCAGCAGATAAGTCGGTCATTCTATGGGACACGGCAAAGTGGACTAAAGTCAAGGAGCTCACGGGGCACGAGGGCTGGGTGTGGGACTGCGCCTGGTCGCAGGATTCCCAGTATTTGGTCACAGGTATTATTTTCATGGACAAATAGGCAGCAGAAAATGGTCACAGGCATTTTGTTTTGGTCAATTAGGCAGTAGTATTTGGTCACAGGTAGTATTTGTATGACAACTGGGCAGCAGTATAGACATTTGAGTTGTTGTCAATCCCAATACACTGCCTGTCTCGCTGGCCTTCATTTGTATGTCCATTTACGTACATGTATATATATTATACCTTCATATGTGTGTACATTTACGTACATGTATATATATTATACCTTCATATGCATGTACATTTACGTACATGCACATATATTATACCTTCATATGTATGTACATTTACGTACATGTATATATATTATACAATCATATGTATGTACATTGACGTACATGTATATATATTACACGAATAGTCTTCCTTGGCTGCCTTGTCCTACAACGTTGTATTGATAAGTATACATAAACATTTGTATACAAAAGTATCAATTTGCATCCTATGCACATTACTCGTTAGCTTCGACACATGTTGTGAAGCCAGTCTGTCTGTCAGTAAAACTATTTATGTGTTGTACACGTCCTTCTTCTGTATTCAGCGCATGTTACCATTAAGTTCAGATACATTTCTACGCAGAATGACGTCTATGGCTGTCCGAAGTTGTTCGAGTGTCTATTGGTTCTCCAGTGCACAGTGTTAGATCTTACTGATTAATTAGAGATATGGGCTGTCCATGGGTGTACGTACACTCTATGAGATTCTTGTAGGCACGACGGGCCGATCCATCAATGCGCAGTACCCTGAAACCTCGCTACACTATCTGTTATATAAATTATACCTACATGCCTGGTTTATAATGTACAGACATATATACAGTTATCATGTACGATCAATCCAAACCTTAGAATTTTATAAATGCATTTGGATTCAAGGATATGCGCTTGTTCTTGTCGTTGCACATGTAGGTGCACTCGGAAAACCCCTTTCCAATCCCCCACGCGTCTCTCTTACATCGTGCAAGCGAACATTGTCGCAGACCGATACATGCGTTAAAGCGTTAAAAGCAACACAAGCGTTCGCATGCCCAGCTACATTTCTACAATGCAATGTGTTCACCTTTCTCCCATATGCACCGTCTCACAGCGTCATCGGATCGCACGGCTAAACTATGGGATGTGACCAGCGGAGAGGTCATTCGGCAGTTTGCGGGACATCAGAAAGCCATTGTTTGCTTAGCGCTTCGAGACGTTCCCCCGCAACAGTAGACCCAAGCTGTACTAGGCAGCTGTTGTCAAACCAGTGCTACATAAACGCATATATAAGCACATACATGATATATATATATATATATATTATACGTACATACATACACACAAATAT